ATTTCAGGGGAAATGACAGCCTGTTTGAAAGAGGCACTGATAGATGTTTATTCAGTTGATCAACAGATCAGTGCCTCAGGGAAGCAGTTGAGAGAGAACTGAGATCTGATTCTACCAGTTAAATATTTAAACTTGACTTGATGGATAGTTCACTCCTTTTGCATTACACTTCATTTTTTTGCTTATCTCTGGTATATACTCATCCTGTTTTTTTGTATCAAACTAATGTTTTCATCCCGTTTTATGAGTTGAGAGGGATATTAGTTTTCTCTCGTGAGGTATGAAGAGTCTATATTTATTTAGTCTTCTTTCACCTCTAAACTGCATCATTGGTGATTTCTTTGAAACATGTTGGATTAGTGCAGAAGATGGGAGTCCAGAGGGGAGGGTGATATAAGCCAGACAAAGCAGAGAATAGTGGTCCTAAAGGATTAGCCCTTAGGAGTAGAATTGTGCACTGTAAAATGGAACTCAATTTTATTTTATGTATCTTAGTTTTTGAGAGAGATTTGTGCTATGGGGCATGTGCACTTGCCAGAGAACCAGAGAGACAGAAAGCAAGAAATCACTTCCCAGGGAGGATGACCACGCTGCAATCCTTTCTCCTCCATTCTCCTCTTGGGATTTTGGGCACGCAGGCACACATGCCTGGCGTGTGTTTTAAGCCCCCAGGCCCGGGACTCAAACCATGGTGGACTACGTGGGAGTCCAGTGGTGTAATCATTATGCCATCTGCCAGTCCCCTCAGTTTGATTTTTTTTTTGGGGGGGGGGCGGATTTTCACTATAAGGGCGCATGCGCTCGCCAGACAGAGACATAGAGACAGAAAGCGAGAAATCACCCCCCACGGAGGATGGCCACACCACAATCGCTTCTCCTCCATTCTCCTCTTGGGATCTTGGGCACGCACACACATGCGCCTGGTGTGAGTTTTAAGCCACCGGTTCCGGGACACGAACCACAGTCGACTACGTGGGAGTCCAGCGACATAGCCATTACGCTAACTGCTGGTTCCCTCAGTTTGATTTTTTTAAAAAATAATTTTTAGGATATAAAATAGAATGGCACAATATTTTTCTGTTTAATCTAGTTTAAATTATTACTTTGGATAATCTCTCCGTATTTTTTTTTAAATTATGATAAAACATACACAAATAAAATTTACCATTTTAACCATTATATACAATTATATATATATATATATATACAATTATATATACATTATATACATTATATACAATTCAGTGCTGTTAAGTATATTCACATTGTCCAGCCATCACCACAGTCCACATCTAGAACTTTTTGTACCTTCCCCTACTGAAACTAAACACTCACTGCCCATTGCCCCTTCTCCCCAGCCTATGGTAGCACTTTGCTTTCTGCCCGTGAGTTCGACTATTCTAGGAACCCCACATAAGTGGAATCCTACAGTATTTGTTATTTTGCGACCGGTTTACTTCACTTAGCACACCATCCGCAAGGTTCCTCCATGTTACAACATGAGTCAGAATTTCATTTTTTAAGCACAGAATAATGCTCTATTGTGTGTGTGTGTGTGTAAACCACATTTTGTTTATCCTTCCCCCTAGTTTTTAGTTAACCTTCCTGCCTCTAGTTTTGTTCCCCTTCAAATCATTTTTCCTGATGCAACCATAGTGATCTTTCAAAAGTGCAAATAAAGTCATCATTAAACATCCTCCTGACCTGTGTCTCCAGTCTGGCCTTGCCACTGTTTTCCAGTCAGATTGAATTGTTTTTATAATTAGTGTCCATGTTCTAGGCAGTGCTTTTTATAATGTACTTTTTAAATAATTAACTAATTTTATTTATTATTACTATTATTTTAATTTGCTGTAGGGCACATGCACTCACCAGAGAGAGATGGGGAAGGTGGGGCAGTGAGAAAGCAACAGCCACCAGGTCTGGGACTTGAACCACAGGTGGCTATGTGAGAGTTCAGCACATTAACCAGTGTGCCACCTGCTGCCCTAGGCAGTGCTTTTTGACAGGCATTATAAATAATTTGGGGGCAGTTTTTAGAGTGGTTCCAAATAAGTCTTCCTGAATTGGCCCCACTGCCTAGTAACATCTGTGTAGTATGTAAAGGCACTTAATAGGTCCTTATGTACCAGGGATCATCAGCAAACTGGACAGTGGGCCAAATCCAGCTAAGTAGAGGAACTGCAGCAGAGGCTATATAACTGCAAAGCCTAAAATATTTACTAACTAGCCTTTTACAGAAACAGTTTTGCTGAGCTCTAGTGTGTACTGTTTCTTTTTGTTTTTTGAATTTTTTGGGGGGGGTTGGGCTGGTTAACATATTCAGCATTTTTATTTCAACTAATTAAAATCTGAGTGTTTTTTAAGCCATGAAATCTCTTCTTCAAACAGTCTCATGCCAAAGCTTGGTTTGAAAACCAATCACATCAGCTCCAGAGGCATGCTTATAGAATACCTACGTATTGAAGAGCGTGTTTATAAACTGGAAAGTCATCTAAAGTGTTTTCTTTTTACCCCCTCATATTTGTTACGTGCTTTCGTACTGCCCACCACTTACTGTTCTGGATTATAATTGCTTGTTTAGCCTTTTTGTCTTAGCCAAGTAGACTCAGTGCTGTGCGAGCAGGCACCCTGGCCGACATAGATAGCCTATAAGTACCTGTTGGGTGGATGTGTGCATGCAAGAGACCCAAGTTGAACACTGGCAGTAAATCAGAACCAAACTCCTGTAGGGTCTAGAATGACTTATTTTCCTACTGTAGCCTCTTAGGAATATAGTCACAAGCTAAAGGACCTTAAAGACTGTCTAGACTTGTGCTGTCGGATACAATGGCAGCCCCTTAGGACTTTGGAGTACTTGAGCTGTGGCTAATTGAAAATGAAATGTGAAATACTGGAGTTTAAACGCTCAGGATGTAAGAGTATGAAATATATCAATAATCTTTATAGATCGACTACATGTTGAAGTGATAATATTTTTATTTATTTCTAAAGTTTATTCATTTTCGTCTTTCCTGATAGAGGAAGAGAGAGTCAGGAATCTCTGGGATCCTCATGCTATAATCCACCATGAGTGTCAGCTTGCCCAGATCCTGACTTGTACACACCTGCACGCTCAAGGAGGTCCTGAGACATGAACCTAGGAATTTCCTCTTATAGGTCCAGCTGTGCTACAGTTGTGTCACTGCCTCCGCTGGAATAATACTTTTGACATATTGAATTAAGTAAAATATACTGGCCCGGCCATGGTGGCATGGGCACTACGGAGACACTGCTCTGTGGACTGGGACCACTTGGGAGGCCTGGGTTCAATTTCTGATCCAACTTAAAGTGCTAGGTACAGTGGCCTGTGCCTGTAATCCCAGCAGCTCATGGAGGCTGAGGCTGAGGATTGTGAGCTTAAAGCTAGCCTAGATGGCAATCATAAGACCCTGTCTAAAAAGGACTCAGATGTGGGGATACGCAATTGTAGTCCCATCTGGGAGGCTGAGGCAGGATTATGACATGGTAAGGCCTTATCTTTAAAAATAAATATGTGCCTTGTGCACACGCACAATGTGTTTCTTTTTACATTTTTAAAAAATAGTTATTTTATTTAACTTATTTATTTTAATTTGACCAGAGAGGGATGGAGAGAGAGAGAAAGAGAAAGCAAGCCACCAGGTCTGGGACTCGAACTGGGGTCGACTATGTGAGAATCCAGTTCCCACAACCACTACACCACCTGCCAGCCCCCTCTTTTTACATTTTCTTAATGTAACTATTAGGACTTTTAGGTTACATATGTGATTTGCGTCATATTTCTGTTGGACAGCACTGTTCTAGACCATTGGTTCTTAGAATATGGCTGGTGGATGGGAATAACCTGGCAGCCTTCTAAGTCTACTGGACTCGACCTCAGACATTCCAAATTCTAATCTCTGAAGATTGGCCCCTGCTCATGTGCTTTCATCATGCTCCCTGGGTGGTTGTGATGTCTTACATGCCCACTGTGAACCACCAGCCAAAACCTACCCCTTTTCTTTATGGAAAGGTAAACTGAGCCCCGGGTAGTAAAGTTCATTCCGTACATTTCATATAGGTTGCCTAGCGTAAAATTCATGCTCTAACTTACAAGCAATAGCTGCATTTCCATTGTACAAAACAGTGGCTCTTGCCTAGAAGTAGAATTGTGACTGGTTTTATTTAGTCATTTCAGCTTTTCAAAAACTGGTCATCTGGTGCTTTCCTAGGATACTGTGTCTTTATCACAATGACTGTGTTTGGTGTGTTCTCAAAATATCATTTTCTTTGTTAAGTCTTATTAAAGGTAAATTGTGAGACATGAGTGAATCATCAGAATTTTAAACTTAATTAAAACTAAGTACTGAATTGTACCTATGATTAGTATAACATTTTCATCAGAAGCAGAAATAAAACCCACTTTTTCCTACAGTCTCAAGAGGCTTTGTTGAGTAGACAGGAGTGTCTGGGGATAACTTATCCCTGGCTTTCTTTGAGATTCCTTCACATATTTCAAGATAATTTGAGAAATTAGCAGCTAGGTTTGGAGAATTTAGCCCGTGGTCTGAGGCTTACCTTCAAGTTGCCTTAGAGTGGACAATGTTCCAGAAGACAGCTTTACAATATTCAGCGTTCTTTATGTGTTGAGGGCCGCTGAGTAGTGGACAAGCATACACGTGTAAACTGATAGTCATAGGTGACACCCATTCATTTCCAGTTCAAATTAGGCGGCTCATGCTAGCCAAAGATTTATGAAATTTTTCAGATAGAAGAATCAAGGGATTCATCTTGGTTTCATCTCTGTTTTAGAGATACCATTTTGGCAACTGAGCAAGTTCTGTAACCCTCTCCAAACTTTGGTTTTCTCAGCCATCAAGTGGGAGGGCAAGAAGAGATGGCCAGTAAGGTTCCTCTTTAAGAATACCATGGTTCGGGGATTGGTTTTTCTTCTTCAGCGTGTGTGTTTTCTTATTAACCTCCCTGTTTTTCTCTTGAAGGGTCAGATGACTTGTCTGCAAAGCTGTGGGATGTGAGCACAGGGCAGTGCGTTTATGGCATCCAGACCCACACTTGTGCAGCGGTGAAGTTTGATGAGCAGAAGCTTGTGACAGGCTCCTTTGACAACACTGTGGCCTGCTGGGAATGGAGTTCTGGAGCCAGGACTCAGCACTTCCGGGGGCACACAGGGGCGGGTGGGTTGCCCTTTTTCAAGGGTTCTTACAGTTACTTTAAACTTATCCTTTGAAGCCAGGAGCTAAGAATGTGAAACTTTTTAAATTTAATTGCCTATCTTCTTTCTTCTTTCTCATCACTGCATTTAGTCCCATTATTCAGGTTATTCTTATTTGGAATGCTTTCCCCAGTTCTTCTTTTTTTTGAACCCATTTAAAAACTCTTCTATACCTTTCAGTTCTCCGTTTCTCCTGTTTCATTTATATCCTGTTGAACAGTGAGTTCCCTTTACTTTTATTAGATTGAATACCTCTAACTTGAGTGAGTTCTGCACTTGTAAATCCAGTCCACTGTAGGATTTGATCTGAAAGCCTTTTGTAGTGATGGTTGTTCCCAGTTTATGTGGTCAGCATAGATTGCATCCCATTAGGATTGATCAACAGTGATTAAAACAAGCAGCCACCTAGAGATGAAATGAAATGAACAGGTACTTGTTTCCCAATGTTAATAAATGTACAGCAGCTTTATTTCGCCGAAAACTGAGCTGTTTGAATACAGCTGTGGTAACATGAGCTCTTCCTCTGTCATATTTTATTTTGGAGCTTTGGATAGAAATCATTGAGCTCTCTCCAGCCTCTTGTATAGCAGTCCTCTTTCTTTCCCCCATTTACCCACTTCCTAGCCACCAAGGGTCAAAGTCTGTACTCTTCAGCATCAGGTTTGTGAGCAGCCAGCCTTCTGCTTGTCTTGCTCACCCTGTATCCTGGCTTCCTCACACTGTATTTGGTGCTCAGTAATTCTTTGAAGTAAACTTAGCTATTTTGCTGCTGAAAATCTGATTTTCTCCCCATTTTGTTTGTCATATATATATACACACACACACATACACACACACACATACACACACACATATATATATATATAGTCTTTGCTATCTGCTACCACTTGTTTGAGAAATTAATATTTGAAGGTATATAACTGAATATGGAACTTAACATATTAAACTAGTACAGTAGCTGTCAGCGTCAGATGTTCCATGACTTTTAGGTACTTTTACTTCTGATCAAATGAAGAGCCCTGTTCTAAAAAATTTTCTGTTTGCTATCCCTGGACATTCCTGTGACTTTTCTTAACTCCATGCCTTTGCTGTTCCCTCTACCTGCAGTATTCTTTTCTTTTCTTGATGAACTCTACTCATCCTTCAGGGCTCATCTCCAATATTACCTCTTCCCTGAAGTCTTCCTTGATATCACTGGGCAGAGTTAGTCATTCTTCTTGGTGTTTCCCTAGCAAGAGGCAAACATTTAATTTTTTGGACTTCCTCTTCTATCTTCTACTTAGATTACTTTCCTTAAGGGAAAGACCAGTGTCTTCATCGCTGGTTCTCCACTGCGGCTTTAGAGCTTGGCAGATACTTAGCTGAATATTTGGGTACTCACTATACTGTAGGCACCATTTCAGGTGCTGGCTATGCTGCGGAGAAATTCAGGCGCTTGTGAGTGAATGGCTGGTATGACCTCCAAGAGCCTTGTTTTTGTTTTATTATTATTTTTTCTTTATATACTGACTTTTCTAGAGTCTAGGTACTGTTTTACAGCTTACATTCTTTATATTTTTGTCCACCTATCAATGCAAATCTGAACAAGGCCACATAGATTCTGTTTTCCTGAAGACCATTATCTCCAACACTAGTTTTCCCTCTCACCCTGGCTCTCACACCTGTGTAAGAGAGCGTATTGTTCCCAGGACTTTCCAGCCTTAGCATAACAAGAATTTGTAGTAGATTTTATTATTATTATCAAATTGCTGGTAGTGTAGCACCATGTCTGTAGTAGGTCTGGTTGGGAAATTGTATCTTTGGGCCGCTAGGGAGAATAGATGTTATTGATGAGCTCTGTTATTAAATCCCCACTGACAGAGGCGAGTTTAACTTTGTGTCTGTTACATGCACTAGTGTTTAGCGTGGACTACAATGATGAACTGGATATCTTGGTGAGTGGCTCTGCAGACTTCACTGTGAAAGTATGGGCTTTATCTGCCGGGACATGCCTGAACACACTCACTGGGCACACGGAATGGGTCACCAAGGTAGGAACACTTTGAAAAAATCTGCTTGATGCCAGGCTTTTGGGGATTGTCAGGGGAATGGTGGAGGATGGTGGACCACCCTCTAAGTGGTTGATGAATGGAAAGATAGAATAGACGCTGCAAAGTATAGTATACAACAATGACCAGCACCTAGTAGGCACTCAGTATATTATTTAGCAATTGAATGGTTTATGGACATGAAAGATGCCCACAGTGTATTAGGTGGGTGGGTAACAAAACAGATTATGTGCAAAAACTGTCGAGTATGGTGTCAGTTTTCTCAATGTGTTTATGCACTAGAACTTGAAGGTGGTTAATTCTGGTAGGACCAAGGGCACATTTTTTCCTTTAGGGTGAGCATGTTTCTTTTTTCAGTCAGAAAAGCAAACTTCATTTTGAAAAAATAAGAATTATAAGAAACAGGATGAAGAAACATATACAGGATCTTTAACAAAATATTGTGATGTTTTCTAGCTTTCAAAACAAGGTGAGTGTGAGATCAGATGCAACACGAGTAATGAACACGCAGAAGCGCTTTTCTCAAGCATACCATGCTGTTCTTTGAGGGGCTGAGGATATAGGAGTGAGCGCGATAGACTCAGGAATTACTTTTATGGATCATAGTCTATAGAAGATACAGGTATTCAACAGTCATTCCACAAATTAATAATACATCATTACAGATTGTGTTAAGTGTGTTCATGAGAAAACCTAGGAAGGTATCTATAAATTACTTAGTTTAGAGAAAGCCTTTTGAGAAGACACAAAGCATGAATGAATAGGAGGTAGCTGGAGTGTTTCAGAAGGTATAGTATGTTCTCAGGCCTGCGATGGGAAAAAACTTGGAACACTTGATGACCTGGAAGAACGCTCATGGAGCTGTTCTGTAGGTGGGGGAGATGGGTGGAGAGGTGACCTTCATGTATGATTTACTAGTTAGGATGGTGGATGTCACTGTAAGTATATTTATGTACTTAAACAGTTGGCAAATTCTGAGCAAGAGTATGGTGTGGTCTATGTTTTAAAAAAATAACTGTTGGGGCCAGCCCTGTTGCCTAGTGGTTAAGGGAGCCATATGCCCAGCTGCAGTTCAAACCTGCCCTGGCAGCTTGAAAAACATGCCAGGCACGTGTATGCATGTAAATGCCTCAGATCCCAGCAGGATGGAGAAATGGAGGAGTTGTGGCATGCCCATGCCCCATCGGGGAGTACTCGCTCGCTCGCTTTCTAAGTGCTTATGCCCTTTGATAATTAAGAGAGAGAGAGAGAAAGGAAATGACTACTAGTGATGCCTGGATTAGAGTGGGACACAGTGGATGCTGAGTGACTAGTTAGACTTTTGCAGGAGTCCCAGAAAAGATTTCCCTTACTTGGGCTTGGATGGCAATAAAGAAGTGTATACATGAAAGACAAGTCTTTAAGATAAAGCCACCTGAACTTACTGATTCATTGCGAGAGATAAAGAAGAATGAATCTGAGATGATGGTGGGTTTTAGGCGAAGTTTTTTTTTTTTTTTTTTTTTTTTTAAATACCTAGAACTAAAGGGAAAGCAGTTTGTGGGAACATCAGAAATTATGTATTGGGCAGATTAGGTTTTTAAACAGAAAAGTTATATGTTATACAACAATTTGGTGTGATGGACATAAACAGTTATCTTGGGGTCAAGATACTGTGATGTTTTGAACAAGTTACTTCTCCCTGAGGACCTGAGTTTCATGATCTGCTGAATGTTCCTGTGAATGTTAATGAGTTGTTTGGATAGCACCCACCAAGGTGCCTGGTACTCAATCGTAGGTTTGTCACTTCCGGCTGAATCTGCCTACAGGTGTCTGAATGAGTGAACCCTGCCTCCTCCTCACCCTAGGCTGATGTATTACCAAAAGTAACTAGGATTTCCAGATTATCCTAAGAGATACTGATTGGAATGTTAGATTTTTTTATAATACTATTATTGCTATCATTAGTTACGTTGCTCTATTTTCATTTTCACTGAAGTTATGTGAGATAATACTGTCTTGTTTCCTGTTTAAAAGATGAGAAAACAGATCAGCCAGGTGGCAGGCCAACAGTGCAATACTCTGCAGTGTGGAGTCCACTGGGAAGCTCTTAAGTTCACATCCTGAGATCTCCCTTGTGCCCCAGGCATGGGTGCAGGTGCCCATGATCTAGCTGGCTGAGGCTGGGGGCGGTTTTGGCACTGGAGTCCTGTTCAGGGTAGCTTTCTTGGTCTTTGTCTTTCTCATGGAAGAAAGACTTAAACGAACTTTTCAAAAATTAACACCAACAACCATAAAGATAAGGAAATAGGAAACAAAGAAGTTAGATGATTTTGCCCAAAGTTGCAGTCATTATATGGCAGAGTCTAGCCCCAAGTGTAACATTTTTTCTTTTAGAATGTGGGTGCTTATAAAAACAGATAGTTTGCATTGACTTCTATGTCTTTGGACTTTTTTGCCTTTTGATTCTTCCATTGTTTATTGTTACATTGTATAACTTTTTAAATCAGCCTTAATGTTTGCTTCCAGACTAAATGCTGTCAACATTAGATACCTTTAGATACTCCTAATAACAGAGAATCTGATTGTGGTAAAAATTTTAGTGGAGGTTAACTTGGGAATAGAGTTATAGCTTAGCCATTCAAGTATACCATATCACTTCAAGCTACTTTTCATATTTGATCAAAAAATAAAATTAGTATAGGAACAGTATTAAAAGGATCTTTCTTCTGTAACACAGATGTTTATATTTGCAGGTGGTTTTGCAGAAATGCAAAGTCAAATCTCTCTTACACAGCCCTGGAGACTACATCCTTTTAAGTGCAGACAAATATGAGATCAAGGTGAGTGTTTTTCCCTCCATTAATATACCTCATCAAAGAAGCACTGGCAAATAGAAGAAAATTAAAGTGAACTGGTGAAAGAAAAATATTCTAAGGGGAAGGCAAAAATGTCTTAGTTCAATTCATCTTTATTTTTTTAAGATTTATTTAATTTTATTTATTATTATTTTTTAATTTTCTGTAGGGCTTGTGTGCTTACCAGAAAGACAGAGAGAGAGAGGAAAAAAATGAGAAAGCAAGCCTTTAGATCTGGGACTTGAACTGTAGTCGGCCATTTGAGAATCCAGTGCCTTAACCATCACCCCACCAAGTCATCTTTCTATTTTTTTTTTTTTTTTGAGAGGTTTTTGCTATAGGGTGCGTGTGCTCACCAGACAGAAAGAGACATAGAGACAGAAAGCGAGAAATCACCCCCCAGGCGGGATGGTCACGCCCCAATCCCTTCTCCTCCATTCTCCTCTCAGGATCTTGGGCACGCACACACACGTGCCCAGCGTGAGTTTTAAGCCACCGGGTCCGGAATACGAACCGCGGTCGACTACGTGGGAGTCCAGCAATATAGCCATTACGCTAACTGCCGATTCCCGTCTTTTTTCTTTTTTTTAAAGAAAGATTATCAGGCCAGCGGATGATGTGCTGGTTAAGGGAGCTGGATTCCCACATGGCCCACCGTAGTTTGAGTCCAGGACCTGGTGGCTTGCTCTCTCTCTTTCTCCCTCTCTCTCACTCTGTCCCTTTCTGGTCAAATTAAAATGAATGAATGAATGAAAGATAGATAGATAGATAAAAATAGATTTTTGCTGTAGGGCGTGTGTGCTCTACAGAGAGACAGAAAGTGAGAAATCACCCTCCAGGGTGATGGCCAAGCTACGGTCCCTTCTCCTCCATTTATCTCTTGGGATTTTGGGCGTGAACACACATGGACCTAGTATGAGTTTCAAGTCGCTAGCTCCAGGACTCAAACCGCAGTTTGACTATGTGGGGGTCCAGCCATGAAACCATTTTACCATCTGCTGATCCTCACACCAAGTTGTCTTAAACCCATTGGAAGAGGAGATGATTTACTATCTCTTATGCTACGTAATTTTGAACTGATTTGTAAATGGAGAATCCATAGGAATTTATTGTCAACTCATTCTTAGAATTTTTTTTTAGATCTTTTTTTTTTTTCTTAGAATAATTATTTTCTTTGGGCCAATAAGTGATGTGGTGGTTAAGATGCTGGACTCCCACATGGCCAACCATGGTTAAGTCCCAGACATGGTGGCTTGCTTTCTCACTTTCCCTTTCTCTCTTTCTCTCTCTCTCTCTGGTCAAATTTTAAAATAATAATAATAACAAGAAATAAAATAAGATTTTTATTTGGTTTTTAAATTTATCATTAATTTTTAAGGTGTGTCTATTTATTTATTTATTTAACTTTGATCATAGTGAGAGAAAAGGAAAATGAGAAAGCAGGCCGCCAGGTCCAGGACCCAAAGCCATGTGGGAGTCCAACACCCTTAACCAACACACCACCTGCTGACCTCTATCATTATTATTTTTAATTCAGGGTGGGGAGATGAGAAAGCAAGTTGCCAGGTCCAGGACTCAAACTGTGGTTGGCCATGTGGGAGACCAGCATCTCAACCACCATACCACCTGCTGGCCCCTCTCAGTATTTTTTTGTAAGCATACATTTATTTATTTATTTATCTATCTATCTATTTGTTGTGATTTTCAAGCTGGTGGGTCTAGGATTCACACTGTGGTCGACTATGTGAGAATCCAGCACCTTAACCACCATACCACTTGCTGGCCAATTTTTAGTTGTTGTTGTTGTTATTTTTTAACTTAGAGATCTTTGCCAGGGGGCACATGTGCTAGCCAGAGAGGCAGAGAGACAGAAATCAAGAAATTAACCCCCAGGAGGGATGGACACACCACAATCCCTTCTCCTCCATTCTTTCGGGATTTTGGCCATGTATCCACACGTACCGAGCTTGAGTTTTAAGCCACTGGGTCTGGGACTCGACCTGTAGTCAATTATGTGGGATTCCAGCGACATAACCAGTATGCTATCTGCTAGTCTCATTCTTAGTATTTTTTAAGCCACATCTCCTATCCTCCTCAATTCTTAGATCTAAACTATGAAAGCATAGATATTTATTGTTATGCTTTGCAAAGAGTTACAGAACACTCTTACGTACATTTTTGTTATTTGTTTATTTAAAAGAATTTTTAGGTTGATTTTATTCGTGATAGTGCATGTTTGAATACACACGAGAAGTTGAGAGAATAGCACTCTTGACAGGGTCTTGGCACACTGCGATCTCTCTTCCCCAGCCTTCCAGCTTCTCAGGATCTTGAGTACACATGTATACACTTGATATGTTTTCAGGTTGACCCAGGGATCTGGACCCACGATCAGTTCAATATTGCTGCTGACTGTGCCATAAGGCTAGGCCTCTTACTGCATCTTTTTTTTTTTTTTTTTTTAAGAGGTTTTTGCTATAGAGAACATGAGCTTGCCAGAAAGAGAGAGACAGAGAGGCAGAAAGCAAGAAATCACTCCCGGGGGGATGGCCACACCGCAGTCTCTTCTCCTCTATTCTCCTATCGGAATCTAGGGCACACACACACGTGCACCCAGGGTGAGTTTAAGCCACTGGGTCTGGGACTTGAACCATGGCCGACTACATGGGAGTCCAGCGATGTAACCATTATGCTATCTGCTGGTCCCCTTACTGCGTTTTTTAACCCACCCTGGTTGTAGGCATTATCTTCATGCAGGAACTGAGGTTCAGAGACTCTTAAGTATTTTACCCAAGATTTCACAGAAGAATCAGAACTTGAATTCATGTCTTATAACTATAAAACCTGCAGTCTTTCAGTATATATCACTTTGTATCTGACTTAAGTTCAAATGCAAACCACTTTGTTTAAGAACAACTTTTCTGTGATGCTCCGAGCTGTCATTCTTCATTTTATTTTTTCTGTAGATTTGGCCAATTGGGAGAGAAATCAACTGCAAGTGCTTAAAGACATTGTCTGTCTCTGAGGATAGAAGTATCTGTCTGCAGCCAAGACTTCATTTTGATGGCAAATACATTGTCTGTAGTTCAGCACTAGGTCTCTACCAGTGGGACTTTGCCAGTTACGATATTCTCAGGTAATATACTCTTGGACCAAATGCTCTATCTTTTTTCTTTTTCTTTTTCTTTTTTTGGAGAGGTTTTTTGTTATAGGGTGTGTGCGCTCACCAGAAAGACAGAGACAGACAGAGAGACAGAAAGCGAGAAATCACCTCCCCGCCCCCTCCCAGGGGGAATGGCCATGCCACAATCCCTTCTCCTCCATTCTCCTCCATTCTCCTCTCGGAATCTTGGGCATGCACGCACACACACTCGACGTGAGTTTAAGCCACTGGGTCCAGGTCTTAAGCTGTGGTTGACTACATGGGAGTCCAGCGACACAGCCATTATGCCAACTGCTGGTCCCTGAATGATCTACCTTTGAAAGTCTTCTGCAGCTTGTTGTAAAGACAAGGCTAAATATTTGGATGTATTAGTCGATAGCTTGCTTCTAAGAGGTGTCAACTGTGTCATTTATAAACAGGGTTATATATGTGCTGAACATCTCTCACAAGAAAAGTGTTTGAGAGGCAGTAAGTAAATGAAAAAGAGTTATATGCTGGAACCTGAAGATCCAGGTTCTGATTCCTCCTGACTCTGAGTCACAGCTCTTTCCCCTTTTAGGATTTAACGAGTGTTTCTAAAAAGTGGGGGGCTATGTGAAAAGATCTTTCAGACTTCCGGTTGTAATAGTTTACATTCTGTTTCATGGTCAGTTGAAATTCCGTTGTTATACAAGCCTGGTCATCTCCAGTGGGGGTCTAGAGAGTAAGTAGCTTTCTCTTGACTAGTGGAAAGACAGAGGTTCTTAGAAAAAAATAACACCTTACAAAGTTTTCCTCCAAAGAAATAAATAAGAGGTCTATGAACAAATAATTGTATGATTCAACGTATACCATGGATCCTTCTGGCCGATTAACTGTAGATAGAGCTAATTAACATATTTGAAGCTGATGAAAGCTAGTACCATGTGATGATTAAGAGAACTTAATTTGGGTCATGATGGACAGCAAGTTGGCGTCTGCCGGCAGGGTCGTGCAGGTAGTGAAGCCACATACTCCATTAATAAGGTTTCGTGACAGAAGAGACAAACCTAAACCCAATGTATCAGAAGCTTTGAGGTCGCAAGGCTACCATCCCATTCTTCTGCAGTTTCACAGCATTCTAAGGGAAGTAAATCACCAGACATGGCAGAAATAATAAAAACTTTATGTCAGAAATACAGAAGGAAACTTAATTTATCCAGTGTGGTGGCCCAGAGTAATCACTGCTCTGTTTTCATCAGACAGAAGAATTGTCTTTGCAATAAAGGACTTCCAAAATGACGAATGAGAAATTGTGTATCAAACAATTAACTTTAGTAAATGTTCTGGGGGCCGGCAGGTGGGGTGGTGGTTAGGGGCACAGGACTCCCACATGGCCAACCATGGTTCGAGTCCCAGACCTAGTGTCTTACTCTCTCATTTTCCTCTGTTGCTCTGTCTCTCTCTGGTCAAATTAAATATATTAATAAAGCTAAATAAAGCAATTGTTTTTAAAACTAATAATATTATGTAAAAAAGAATTATAGAAAATTTAGGTAGAAAAAAAAAAGAGAGAACTTGATTTGAACTGGTTCCATTGCCTAGTCTTTAAAGGAACCAGAATGTACATGCCTAACTGAAGTTTGAGTCCTGGCCCTAGCAGCTTGAAAAACATACCAGACATGTACGTGTGTGTGTGTATATGTGTGTGCCCCAAATCCTGATGGGATAGAGAGGTGAAGGAGGAGGGATTGAGGTGTGACCACATCCCATTAGGCAGGTGATTTCCCCCTCTCCTTTTCTCTCTGTCTCTCTCTGGCAATCAGAAAAAAACAAACAAACAAAAAACAACACTTGAGGGAAACTGGCTTTAATAATAGACATGATGTAAAGACTTGATACTGGCTTTTATAGGTCGCATGATTTTGTATAAATTTTGTTTGGTTTGGTTTTGAGAGATTTTTGCTTTTGTGTGCATGCACTCAATGGAGAACAGACAGAAAACAGTAAATTACTCTCCCAGGGAGGCCACACTGCAGTCTCTTCTCCTTTACCTTCTTGGAATTTGGGGCATGTATGCATACCTGCCCAGTGTAAGTCTTAAGCCACCAGGTCCAGGACTTGAACCATGGTTGACCATGTCATAGTCCAGTGCCTTAATTGCTGCAGCACCTGCAGGGCCCTCTTTTCTTTTTTTTAAGAGTCGCCCCCCCCCCCCAAAGAATTACTTTATTTAACTTTATTTTAAATCTCACTAGAGAGGGAGAGAGAAAAAAAATGAGAAAGCAAGCAGCCAGGTCTGGGACTCGAACCACAGTCAGCCATGTGGGTCCAGCTCCCTTAACCACCACGCACCTCCTGAGCTCTTAAGAGAGATTTTTGCAATAAGGCACGTGTGCTTGCTGGAGGGAGGGAAAGAAAGACAGAGAGACAGAAAGCCAGAAATCACCCCCCCAGGGAGATGGCCATGCCACAGTCCCTTCTCCATTCTCCTCTCAGAATGTTGGACACACACATGCGCCCAGCATGTGTTTCAAGCTGCTGGGCTGGGTCCAGAATTGGACCATAGTCAGCCACATCGGAGTCTAGCAACATAACCATTAGACCATTTGCTGGTCTCATGGCCCCTCTTTTTTGTCACTTTAATGCCAGAGTGTGTATATCAGAGACAGGGCTTGCCCCCCAGTAGGGCTTGGTCAAATGCAATCCTCTTTTCCTTTTCTTTTTTCTTTTTTTGTCTCCTAGAGGGGAGAAAGAGGAGAGACACAGAGGGAGAGAGAGAGAGAAAGAGATAGCATTTCCACAGGGGATACAGCCACAGTGCGATCCCTTCCTCCTCCTCCTTCTGGGACCTTGCACACCCATACACATCTTCCTGACATGTCCTTCACGCTGTTGGGTCTGGGACTCAAACTGCACAGTTGGCCATGGGGGATCCAGCTGCCTTAACCTCCTTGTCACTGAGTGGCCCTGGGTAAGTTTCTTAACCCTCTGTGCCTCAATGTCTTAGAAATCTGTAAAGTGATTATTAAATGAAGTGTGATAAAGACCTGACAGGTCTTTTTCTAATATAAATACATATAATATATTAAGATATATATTAAATATAATATAATGTATTGCTATATA